ACAGTTTGAAGACCACTGTCCAAGACGAAACGTGCTATAAACCCTGCCGTGTGGGCAATGCCATGCTGCAAGGGATCATTTTTCTAATCTGCCTGGAGTTGGGCTTTAAGGCTAGGTTTATACTCGTGCATCTGCATTTTCACGTGTTTTTCATGCACTTACTCTGAAGTCTGCATTTACACAGGCGACTAGTGAAGCCACTTCTGCCTGCACACTTCAATGACAGCTCAGCAGCAGGGGCTGTGGCTACCTGCCCAGCCAGTAATTACCAACGGTGATTGCTGGTGGAAGAGCACAATGTGGGTCCAGCAGCAAGCAACGCAGGTAATCGATGGCTGGGTGGACAGCCACAGATAGCTATGACCTTTGCTGACCTGTCATTGAAATGTATAGGGATGGGCAACCACAGCTAGCTGCTCACAGGTCATTGAAAAAGCTGCAGCAATCAGCAGACTCCTGCCACTGTCATTCACACTGGCGCTAGTCACCTGTGCAAAAGTAGAATAAAAAGGAAGATATGTTTAAATTGTCTTGCAGAAAGTTTTTTTTTTCTGTTGTTTCATGTTCTCATGTTACAGTTATATTATTTTGCTTGAATCTTTAATAAACTTTCAGTAAATATAGACTATATTAAAGCACAACTCTAGCCAAAAATATCAAACTAAAAATTAAAAGAGCATTAAAAATAATGTAACAAAAACAGCATTGGCAGCAATATTCACCATCAGTCCAACCCCATTAGTTTATTTTTCCCACCACTAGATGTCCTCTTGTCTGATGGCCAGCATCAATCAATCCACTTCCCCCGATCCCAGGTCATTCTGGACCCACCGGAGGCTGCTACTGAACAGTTAAAGAAGACGCAGCACAGAGATGAGCTCATCTCTCTGTCACTGGGTTCTCTCCTTTTATCAGAATGCTTCTCAGCACATGAACTGATAGACTGCTTGTACTGCCGTTTCCTCTCACATACTGATACCAGATCAATATCAGGTACTACCATTGCTTGCATTTAAAAAATACATTCAATGATGTACTAGTGATTACACAGCTGCATTCACCTGTGTATTTTATATCTACTAGACTTCTGCTTTAAATGAATTTACCGTAACTTTATACTCCTTATTTGGGTAAAGAGATCACTAGATTTCATTGGTTTAATAAAATTTCAGCTTGATGAAATCCTTGACAGTGAAAGTGGTTGTCAGTTATTATGCATGTGTGTATGTGTGTTAGCACTGTGAGCACTCAAACTGATATCGCATTAAAAATTCCACTGGGGCATAGACTGAACTATACTCTGTGAAGAGTTTTGCAAAATGCTGGTGGTATATAAAAAAAAAATACATATATTGACCATAGTGAATCCCTGAGCTTATGTGGAACCTTCAACAAACTTCATGTGGTTATCATGGAAATTATCCTAGCAAGCTCTATAAGGCAGAAATTGCTGGGGAATACTGCGGTTAAAGGCATGGAAACATCCATTGAGTAGGGGTGGGACTTTGTGTTGTTAAAATTAAAAGCACCAATTACTTTTTTTTAACTTTATTGAACTGTCACAAAATGGACACTTTGTTCAAGTCTACGCACCATAGTGATGCAGTGGTACAGTGAGTTGACGTAACACAACCCACTTCAATACAGCATTGCGATGTGAATACGGCACATACAAAACAATTGTAGTAGTGCTTAGCTACCTGGTAAGGTGTTTGGAACTTCATATACTGTACTAGAAAGTCACTTAAAGGACTGTGTCTTTATTTTGAAGATAAGGAAATAAGACATAAAATAATAGCAGATTAGTATATCATTATTGTATTATTATAGTATATAATTCCCATAAATGAAACCGTAATTGATTTAAGGCCTTTTTTCAATGCACATTAAGACACATGATATAGTAACTAGCCTATCCACCAGTAACTGCACCTTTGGGAAGGGTGGTGTCTACAAATAAACAGAGGAATACAAAGAGTACACACCTGGACAGGGGTGGACTGACAACTCATGGGGCCCCTGGGGAATAGGGGATCAAGGGGCCCCTGTGTCCTTGCCCAAACTCAAAAAAGCCTATGAAAAAGGTACCAGGAGCATCTCATGGGGCCCCCTACTGACCCCAGGCCCTCGGGCAGTGCCAGAGTTTCCAAATGTTCAGTCCGCCCCTGCACCTGGATATACCCACTATTTACAATGAGGAGTGGTTTAAAGCTGTGCAGTCTGGCTAAAGGTTCTCTTAAGGATGCATTCACACCTGAACGATTTTCTGCTTGAAGCATGTAGCTCTAAAACATTGAACAAGCCAAATCCCATTCATTTTGGCCCCGGTTTGAATATGAGAGTTCTGTTCACAAAAGCAAAACACCTGTCACTCAGAAAAGTGCACAAGCTTCTTTTTGGCAGACCACAAGCATTTCTGGCCCCATAGACTTCAAAAGAAATGAGTGAAAATGTGTTACTTGAGCATTTTACGAGCGCTTTGACGCATTTTCTGTTCAAACAGCAGCTCTTCACCCCTAATTTTCTCCCCCTAGTGCTTTCCATGGGCTAAACAAAAAACACCTGAAGCTGTAAAACAAATATGCTTTAAAACGCTTGTAATACACTTAAGAAAACGCTCAAAAAAAAACTCTCCAATAAGAACACCAGTAAATCTCTATGCCCAGGTGTGAATGCAGCCTTAATGTTTGCGGTGACAGCTGGGAAAACCTTTAGAAGAAAATAAAAACCCTTTTTGTTCTTTTTTAGAACCAAATTTGACAATACACTCAGTTTTTAAGATACCGTAAGTCTTTGTTCTTGGTTTCAGTGAAGAAGTCGAAAAGGTGAAACATCTCACATTAAACAGCATCAACTAAAACTTTGCATGAAGCTTTCTACACAAGGACACAAAAGTCTATTTCTGTTTCCCAGTATCTCAGTTACAATATCCATGTGTTAGATCAGTAAAGAACATGTAGAGGGGGACTGATACCCAGGGTCCGCCATCCAGAAAATCAATACAAAAAAAAGACCCACCACATGATTAAAAATCTGTATTATGCAAAACATAAAAAACACAATCCTAGCAGTAAATATTTAACTTGTAAATGCAATGCAAGCAGAATAGCAATGTTTATTATAGTATATTTCACTTGGGGTACAATTAAAGGAAACCTGTCCTAAACGAAAAATGGTGGCTGCTATTGCTAACCTCCTTCTGGAAATGTTAGTTCTCTATCTGCTTTCTGAGATACTGTATGAAGCAAATGCACAGAGCAGAAAAGTAAAAGTAAAATCAAGAAATCTATGTTCTTGCTTCAAAATAGGAAATTTGAGATAGATTAGGGAAAGGTTAAACCTCATGTTAGGTTTTTTGTGCCAACAGTGTCCCATTGGTGGGGATTTCTCTTCATCATTTCCTGTCCTGTAGACACAACAGACAGTGAGAGAAACTCTCGCCTAACAGAGGAAAAACGTCTCTTATGGCTGATTTCCATCAATCCGGTCCATTGAGGGGTGAAATGGAGCTTTGTGAGGTGCGTTGTGTTAACCTGAATGAGCTGGCCAGGCACCATATCAGACCAAAATTTGGACACGTTGCACTTTCTTTCACTTTCAGTACCAATGACAGTGGAGAAAGAGAGAATAGATGTCCTAGCAGGGGCAAAAGTGTTGACAGGCATTCTAACCTCTCACCACTCTAAGGTCAAAGGTGCTTTGGTCTTTGGAAAACAGTTTGTTAGTGCTGCTCCCTTGACCCTGTGCAGAGGGGATTGGCTGGGTTGACAGGTGACAGGCCACATTTAATAACTCCTTTGTCTTCAAAGCCCTTCTGGACTTTCTCTGGGACAGACGACTTGAAGACTGTCAAAGACTATCCAAGATTAAAAGAAAAAAAAAATTAAAATCTAAAAAAGTTTAGACTTTACACTTTAATGTTTTGAGTCATTGCTGAAAACAGGCTTACAGCTATCAAAGTTAGAGTATAACTCCTGATCTGCATACTTGGTATAGGTCAATAACACAGAAAGCACTTAAGGTATTGGATCAACTTAATAACCAAGAATTTTCAGGAGAGCTTCTGGACATCCTATAATATAGTTTTCTTTTCAGATCACGTTTTTAGACGTTGATTTCCTTTAGCCCTAAAACACCCCAAAGACACCATAAACTTCCTTTCTTTTGTAATAAACCTACACGTCTCTCTTAATGATGCAACTAATTTAGCAATAGAATCTTCCGATATAGCAGAGATGCTGATTTAGAATTTATTCTAAGGGCTTATAGAACCACTTACCGATTGTCAGGTTAGGTGTAATCAATAAAAAAAATATATAATCGCAGAAGATACATTCACAATAACTAAATACAAAGTGCAAGATCTGATGAAAAATAGGCCAAGAATTATAAAGTGCCAACCTGCTGCATAAATATAATACTAAAGGTTGATTTTTAGTAAACTGCAAAGTGGACGTACTAAGTGTATTCTGCCAAAACACTCCTAAAAGAAGCAGCCGGAGAAAGCAAACAGCTCGCTGCACATTTTATATGCAATCTCCCCTGTGTAATATTAACCAATTTTGAAATTAAACCAAGCGACAACATCAATTTGTACCAGAACATTACACTGGAAGTTTACCAGGTAAAAACACCACTCGGGAACTTTAACCTCATCCCTGCTGGGAAGAGTACATGTACAGCAAACACCAAGAACAAAAGACCAAATCTATTCACAACACCATTAAAGTATTTTCTCTTCAAAATTATAAAGATAAACAGAGATAAAAGATGGGCCAAACTTAACCCTGTGATAAACCAGGCAACATTTTACACCACACAGCACACTGGGACACAAGGCTCTCAGCAACTTAAAAACTCAGGCACCCACTGTAAAAATGCCATATGCTATTCAATACATTTACAAAAGTACTTCACCCAAGCACATTTTCATCCAAGCAAAGAAACTGATCAGACAAAATGTACAAAAAAATAAATACATAACACTGGAAAAAAAATATTTACCTTGAATAGCCATTGGAAAACACAGGCCTGCTTTGATAGGTTACATTCCCTGGTGAAGCAATGCTTTCATTCCCAGACCCATGGCACCTATTCCAAGCTTCAGCAATAGAAGGTAGAGGTGGGCCCAAGGTAAAAACTGGCTTCTGATCCATCTGCTGAGAAAGTGGGGAAGTGTTCAAGTCATAGTGGTACATCTGTCCCCCTGAAGTGCTGACACCATGCACAGAGATGGCTGATGTTTTGTTACCAAAGAGGCTAGATCCAGAAAAATGGCCACCACAATAAACGGGACTAAACTTTTCCTGCTTTACTACTCCAGGAGTACACAGCTCTATAAAGTCATCCTTTTCAGTCTTCACTTGAGACATCAGTATTTCAGTACTTGGCAGTACTAAGTCCCCTACATGATCACCTACTTTAGGTGTTTCCTCTTGAAGAATGAGAGGTTTACAGTCTTCATTGACTGAACTTGACCTCAAAAGAAAAGGGTCATCAGTGGTCAGAGGAGATAGCAAGTCAACAGCCTCATCGTCAAATAAAGGGTCCAGTGCCCATGGACTACCCTTTATATCCCTGGGTGACTCTGGGGGCAGATCCAGATCCTGTAAAAGGTCAAAGGTGCTTTGGTCTTTAGAAAACAACTTGTTAGTGCTGCTCCCTTGACCCTGTGCAGAAGGGATTGGCTGAGTTGACAAGTCACATTTGATAACTCCTTTGTCTTCAAGACCCTCCTGCACCTTCTCTGGGACAGATGACTTTGCCTGAAGACTGGCAATGCTCTCTTCGAGTAGCCTGAAGTCAGTTTCTCCAGCTGGGACTCCAAGTTGAGCTTGCTGAGGGTAACCCAGTTCGTTTCCCATTACTTTTGTATCTGGCTCCCCCATATAAAGTCCCATTGAAAGGGAGACTGCCTTGGACAGGTCTGGCTGAGGCACATTACTCAAACCATTAGCTGGATCTGCTGTTATAGCCAGTTCCTGCTGCTGCTGTAGTTGCTGCCGTGTGTCTGGCAGTGAAGCAGGTGGGGTTGGACAAGATGTAGAAATGTTCACACAGGCTCCACCTCTATAGCTTGTAAATAAATCAATCACATTCCCTTTCTTGTCACTGTAATGTGCAGTCTTCACAGCCTGAGATCCATTGGGCGGCTTCAATAGGTCTTTGGGATCCATTGGATACTGATGCCTGAGAGGAGACAGAAAAAAAAAAAAAACATGAAAACTTTTACAGAGAACTTAGTTCACCTATGAATTACGTTTAACACAGCGTGACTGACATACTACTCTGCTGAACTGTCACTGCCACAAAGAGCTTGCTATGCATTGTACCACGATGAATAAGTCAACCTAATGAGATTGTCTGCATTCAATGATATTTCCTCTCTGGATTATTTTAACAGGGGATGCTACAAGATGATTTCACTGTGTGGTTTAAAAAAGCAGAATTCATCCTGAAAGACGAAACCTTTTGAAACATTCTCATCCGATTACGTGCAAGCTTATCGTAATCAGAAAAACTATTAGGTAAGTTTGGAAGCTCCTTGTAAACGGTTCCTAAGATGCAAGTTGCCAGGTTCACCTCTAAGGAAAGCACGTCATATGCTCAAGTGACAGTTAACCATTTCAGCACTGGACAGGCGCCTTGCAGACAGTGTCATTTTCATTTCTTAATAAAGAAAGATACATAATATACAGTCTCCTCTTCCAATTTAACACTCCTGACTCATACAAAACAGCTTTTGTGTACAGCTACATATTGCTGTGATCCCTGGAAACAACTATACATTGCACGGGATCATTAATACAGGATTTGCAATGCAAATCGCAAACACCCATATTGTGCCTTACAGTTGCACTAGCAGTTGTCATGTCACCCCTGGGTATATGGAATAATAAGGGGTGCTATTAAGTTGGAAAGGGTTGTCTCTTAGTCTGTATACCTTCTTTTTTTTTTATCTCTCATACGGTTTTACTTTTTTTTTCATAATAACAGGAACATCACATATTAATATTAAAAACTTACGAAGGAAAAAAAATTATATATATATATATATATATATATATATATATATATATATATATATATATATATATATATATTTTGGTAACTGCATAAATCTGCTGAGTTTATTCACACACACATTATATATATATATATATATATATATATATATATATATATATATATATATATATATATATATATATATACACATACATACACACACACACACATATACATACACACATTGTAACTGCAAAATTCTGCTGAGATTATACACACACACATTTTATATATATATATATATATATATATTTACATATAAATACATACACAGTCATGTGTCATATATATGTATGTACACTGCAGGAAGACACCAAAGACACAAATTGCACCCATTGTAGGGTTGGCTTCTGTAGACAGATGGATGGACAGACACACGTGCTTTGAAAGCCAGGAAATGCCCATCTTTATATTATTACCAATAAACAATACACAGACACACATTTATATTGTTAGACAATATGCATACACACATAAATTATTAAACACATCAAAACAAAAAAAAAAAAAATATAGCTGACATCTAAGACATCATTAAATATTCCAGACACAGCTCAACTACAACACGACTAATTGAAAATAAAGCCCAATTTCAGTTTTACCTCTCAGAGAATAAGGCAAGAAAACAGAATAAAACAGATATGAATCTGAGGACTGCTAATGGAAGTTTCTATTCTGGGAAGAAGTGGGCTGCAAGCTCTTGGGACAAGCTTCTCTGTAACCATGATGAAGCTGAGTCCAAGTCACATTCATCCTCCATCTCAATGTGTGTGCTGCACGATCCATTAGAAGAGACCTTGTTTTCTGAATCGAAGCTGAGCCATCATCACACTGAATGGAGGATATTAGATTCCCCCCCCCCCCCATCTCTCTGTCCTCCCACGTGTAACCATTTCAGCACATGATCCTAGGAGTGAAGTCACAGCAGCCTTCCTCTAGGCCATAGGTGGGCTTATTACACCATAGGCAGCAAAGGCAGAGACTGTCCAATTCAGGGAAGAGGAGGATCAACATGACACACCCACTCCTCCTACGTGACAACCACCAGCTCACCAGCCTCAAGTTGTCATCAGCCCCAGGGGTGGCCTCGCAAGGGTTAAGAGGGCTGCCAGGGAAGAAGGGAGCTATTAATAAAACATAAAGCAATATTGAATATATTACATGACGTCACCAAGTCGCTGGAGCCCCGCCCAATCAGCCCTGCTGTCATGAGAGAGGAAATAAACAGCCTGGCCTCGTCTAATAGGGGCGACCAATGACAGATCCCAAGAAAGTCACCCCCCCTCCCCCTATGATGAGCCCCTTCCCTGCCCGGTCCGATCCCGGGATGGATGGGGGGGGGTGAGCTCAGGTCCGCAGGAAGTTGAAGTCCCGGGTTTCATAAGAGGCTGTATTAAAGGAAAAGTTGTGTAGAGGGAGGATTCCTCAGCGGTCCCTGGCATGTGCCCAGTACACACAGCTCCGAGGGCTGACAGCAGATAGTAAGCTCTTAGGTACCCTGGCGGGCAGAGATCCGAGGAATGGGGAGAGCCCGCCGCCCTCCAAAGTTGTGTTCTATCAATGTGACATGAGTGCCCTTCATCAGCCGAGTCACCCCCTCCCCGGCATGTGTGTGCCCCCCACACCCACACATAAACAAGTTGTGAGGAAAGGAAGGCGGCTGGACCGCGGGAGGAAGTAAACAGGCGCCGGGGACCCCGCGGCTCAATGTCCTCTCCACACACCCCCTCGGATACTTACAGCTGGCGGCCTTCAAGCTCCGGGCATGTCTCCGTGCTCCGTCTGGCTGGATGCCCCCGTGTCGGCTGGCAGCGGCCCGTGTGCGCGGCGCACACAGCAGAGGCGCCCTCGGGGATGGGAGCCGCCTATCCCGGACATGCAGGGAGGAGAGAGACAGAGGGCGGCCGGCGGAGGGGGCTCAGTGCCTGTGTACTGGGAGGGAGCCGACACACAGAGCGGGGAACGCTGCAACCTGTTGGCTGCTGCCGGCAACTACAGCCCCGCTCCGCACACCACTTCCCTTCCTCCTCCTCCGGTCTACGCTCCCTCACTCTCTTCTCCTCCGGTCTACGCTCCTCACTCCCTTCTCTTCCATTCTCCGCTCCTCACTCTCTTCTCTTCCAGTCTGCGCTCCTCACTCTCTCTCTCTTCCAGTCTGCGCTCCTCACTCTCTTCTCCTCCAGTCTACGCTCCTCACTCTCTTCTCCTCCGGTCTACGCTCCTCACTCCCTTCCTCTTCCATTCTCCGCTCCTCACTCTCTTCTCTTCTCTGCGCTCCTCACTCTCTTCTCTTCCAGTCTACGCTCCTCACTCTCTTCTCTTCCAGTCCTAGTCCTCACTCCCTCCTCCCCCCTCCTCCTCCTTCTCTTCTCTTCCTCCGCTCCTCACTCCCTTCTCTTCCAGTCTACGCTCCTCACTCCCTTCTCTCCCCCCAGTCCTGCGCTCCTCCTCCTCTCTTCTCTTCCAGTCTCCGCTCCCTGCGCTCCTCCACTCTCTTCTCCTCCAGTCTACGCTCCTCTCTCTTCCCCCTCTCCTTCTCCTCCTCTACGCTCCTCACCCCTTCTCTTCCATTCTCCGCTCCTCACTCTCTTCTCTTCCAGTCTGCGCTCCTCACCTCTTCTCTTCCAGTCTACGCTCCTCACTCTCTTCCCCCTCCAGTCTGCGCTCCTCACTCTCTTCTCTTCCCCTTTCTCCGCTCCTCACTCCCTTCTCTTCCATTCCCCGCTCCTACCCTTCCTTCCAGTCTACGCCCCCTCCCTCCTCTCTTCCAGTCCGCTCCTCACCTCCCTCCTCCAGTCCCCCGCTCCCCTCTCTTCTCCTCCAGTCTACGCTCCTCACTCTCTTCTCTTCCATTCTCCGCTCCCCTCCTCTCTCTTCCATTCTCCCCCCCTTCTCCCTCCTCTCCCACGCTCCTCCTTCTCTTCCGGTCTCTGCTCCCCTCACTCCCTTTCCTCCGCCCCCGGTCTCCACCCCCCTCCTCCTTCTCCCGGTCTACGCCCCCCTCTCCTCACTCCAGTCTACCTCTCCCCCCCTCCGTCTACCTCCTCACTCCCCCCTCTTCCATTCCCTCCTCTCCTCACTCTCTTCTCTTCCAGTCTGCGCTCCTCACTCTCTTCTCTTCCAGTCTGCGCTCCTCCTCTCTCCTCTTCTAGTCCCTGCCCTCCTCACTCCCCCTCCTTCCAGTCTACGCTCCTCACTCTCTTCTCTTCCAGTCCCGCTCCTCCTCTCCTCCCCTTCTCTTCCCCTCCGCTCCTCACTCCCTTCTCTTCCATTCCCCCTCCCCCTCCCCCCTCTCCCTCCTCCCCCCTCTTCCAGTCTACGCTCCTCCCACTCCCTTCTCTTCCCCCCCCTACCCTCCTCACTCCTTTCTCTTCCAGTCTACGCTCCTCACTCCCTTCCCCTTTCCATTCTCCTCCTCCTCACTCTCCCCTCCCCCTTCTCTCCCCCCGCTCCTCTCTCTTCTCTTCCGGTCTCCCGCTCCTCCCTCTCTTCCCTCTCCCCCCCTTCCCCCTCCTCCCTCCCTTCTCTTCCGGTCTACGCTCCCCCCCCCCCCTCTTCCCTTCTCGCTCCCCCCCCACTCCTCCCCCTTCTTCTTCCGGTCTACCCCTCCCACTCCCTTCTCTTCCCCTCTACGCCCCTCACTCCCCCCTCTTCCGGTCTCCCCTCCTCCCTCCTTTCCTTCCGGTCTACCCTCCTCCTCCTTCCTTCTCTTCCATTCTCCCCCCTCCTCCTTCTCTTCCCCCCTCCCCCCACTCTCTTCTCTTCCGGTCTCCCCCCTCCTCCTCTCCTTCACCCCCCTCCTCACTCTTCATTTCCTGCCTCCCCACCCTCCCCCCCCCCTCCCCTCCACCCCAGTCTTCCTCCTCCTCCCCCCCCCCCTCCCCCCCTCCCCCCACCCTCACCCCCCCCCTCTTCTCCCTCCACCCCTTCTTCTCCCAGTCTACACTCCTCACCCCACCCTCCCTTCTCCTCCACCCCCCCCACACTTCTTCTCCAGTCCCCCCCTCCCCCACTCCCTTCCCCCCCCTTCCTCCACACACTTCTCCAGTCTACACTCCTCCTCCCTCTCCCACCCCCCCACCCTTCTTCTCCACAGTCTACCCTCCTC